CCTTTAGGGATTAAAAGGGCTATCTAAAAGCCATAGTTTCAAATTTAACAGTAGGAAGTTTCCTGCATGATGATGGAGCTTCAGGCAATGTCTGCGGTTAAAGTCCCACGGATGTGAGAAGCAAAAAAAAGTTCAAAAGTCGACAAAAAATACTGAAATTCTCACCCGAGAAGAGATTTTCTGTCCGAGCTCATTTGGCAAGACGCTTCTTATCTCTTGAACACCACCTGTAAGTATACAAAAGCGGAGAACTTTTCAAACATAACGAAACATCTACCAGAGTGGAAAAAAGCAAGAAACATCAGGTGCATCATGATCTACACTATTCAAAAGCCCACCTAACGTGGAGAAACCAAAGTGGAACCCCCTTCCCCCCCTCCCCCCCCCCCCCCTTCCGAAAAAAAATCATAAAGTCTGACTTCTCTTGAGGAAGCGGATATTCTCACACGACATGGCGGTGTCACCTATGGAAGGTCACACGGACCTTTGCCGGAAATATTTGCAATTGATGATTCAGACTCTCCCGGTGATACTTTGATCACTCTGGAGATCTCTTTGAACCGCATTTCGAGGGCGTTCATGCCACTTGATTACAACTTTGTGGCGGAACGGGTGGTCTTTACGGCTCGTATACATAGCCTCAGGGGGAAGCCATCCAGGAGCACTCAACCCCCGATGCTCGGAACTAAGCATGTCCAACGGTGGGTCCAGGAAAGCTAAATGAGATGTAAAAGCTGACTGATTAGTAACATAGGCTATTTGGACGTAGAATACTGGTTCAAGGTCCAGAGGCAGATGATCCACCGTGATACCCAGACCCAACCCTTTCCCCCTCCTCTCCAAAGTTCAGGGGTTACTAAGCCCCAGACCCAGCCCTTTCCCTCTCCTTTCCAAAGTTCAGAGGTTACTAAGCTATACGTTGGTTTCAGAAAAGTTAAACACAATAAAGAAATTGGGTCCTAATACCCTGACCTCGGAAAAGCCTTCGATACGATAGCGCTATGGAAAGGGAAAGTAAGAACCAAGAAAAACTCAGACCCAGTAGAGAAGGACATAAAGTTTTACTCGATAAATTCACCTCACTCCCAGTAAAGTTCTGGAGCTTCCGCTCTTGGTCAGCCAACGAAACCGCCTCGGGCAATGATTTCGCCAGTAATCGTTTGAAACAAACTGCCTGAAAAAGAAACCTACGTCGCCACAGTTTCGTTGAGTCCATCAATAACTGGATGGAAACAAGCGAATGCAGGTCAATCCATATGATGCGAAGCGTTGTACAGGTTCAGAACCCGACATCAGATAGGCAAAACATGAGCACTCTTGTTCAGTGATGTTGAGTGATGTGCAAGACTCTGAACCTTAGGCGGAGTCTAACCCAGGTTCTACCCCTTCCCGAGACATCTGCTAACCACTCACTACCGGCGCACCACTTTTACTGTTTTTTTATTCGATACAAAAACCGCTGACAGTTGCTTGCTGACAAATCGATATCTTGTATCACAGAGAGAGTGATGGCAAACAGGAATCCCTGTAGTGCTATGGTTAGCACGTGTCTCCGGAAAGAGTGAAACGCGAGTTAAACTCGCGCCCAAGCTTCAAACTTTGTATATCAGCCACCATTATTGGATGCATAATTATAACGTCACATTACTGCTAATAGAGCGGTTGACCGGTTGACTTCCATGGACCCAGGGGCGTGTCTAACAACCCCACCTCCTCTGCGCCGATTGGACGCCGGCCACAACCACTTTTTCTTGCAGGACCCGCAGGAAAGTTTTGAGATGGTTCGCGTGTGGTCTTCACCGGCGTATTGATTACTGTCTCTTGATGTTGACACGACGCTTGCACACATAACATCAAGAAACAGCAGTCAGTACGCTATGGAAGAGCGCACGAGAATCATTTTAAAAGTTAGCTGCGGGTCCTGCAACGAAAAGTGGTCAACATCACATCGGGGAGAGGGTGTGGAGTTGCTGGACACGCCCCTGGATCCACGGAAGTGAACCGGTAAAGATCTCGTCGATCATGAGTATGGTGTTTTCCATATGACTTCGATTCGATAAAAGTGAACCAAACCGGTGACCGGGTCTAGAAATAAACGCGAGATTCAGAATTTTGCGATAAGTGAACTAAACCTATTAGAAAGGTTGATAAAGATTCTGAATAGACCTTGTATGTGGCTCGAATCCTTCAAACAGCACAGTACCATGCTTCGTCACAGACACGGATACTGTTGTCTGTCCACGGATCCACTCAGAAAGGGATCTCTGCCTGGCCAGTCGCTGAGGTACATGGCGCGTCTCCAGGTGGCGGATGGGAGAGTTGGATGGAGACTCACAATGGCCTCCCCGAAACGTAGGTGGATTCACAGCCTGGTTTCCCTATTTCTGCTGCGCCGACCGGCATACTTTTTTCTTACAAATCAAACTGACCAAAAGCCTGCAATCAGGCGACTCGGAAGAAAATGGCAGGCGAGTAGGAGTCGCTTTGAATGAATAAGCTCGTTTCTGTCTCTCCGGAAGCGACTGACAATCCACATTGAGTGATCAGTTCCTATGTTCAGAGCTTAGCAAGCTCTAAGCTGGGTTCAAATGCACAAAACAGTGAAGAGAACGGTGTCATCGGCCTGGCTGAGGCGAGAAGATGGCACACATTTCACGCTGTCTATGACACCGGAGAAGAACGATTTCTCGCAAAACATGTGATCGCAGAGGTATCGGCGATGTTGGCGTTCTCGTCAGAACAAGTTTGACTATGAACATCGATTCATTTCAACAACTAACAACCGAGATCGGACATTTGCGGTTGAAATGATGTGAATCACTCTGTCGGCTATGACCATCTTCGTTGCTTACGCATCAACATTAAGCTATGACGAAGACGAAGTCGAAGCAATCCATCAATTCGAGAAGTTCTTCTAGAAATGTCATACAATCTTCTACGTCATCGGTCATCAGTGGAGATTTCAACACAAAAATTACACTAGAAGAGTGTTCGATGAGGCGACACTGTCACCTGTCACCTGTCGCCTGTCGTCCCGATGATCGTCGAGTGACACGAGCGGGTACCAGCAACTCTTCCATTTTTCCCTATCGCATGCAAGAGTAGCCCAGTGGGTCCTCCTCGCTCTAGGAATTCGCTGAGCATCATATCTTTCTTCCATCGCTTTCGTGAAGAAATCGGACCAACGGGTCAGTGGTCTTCCTTTAGAGCGCTTGACGTCCCGAGGAATCCAGTCGGTAACGGCTCTCGCCCATCGGTTGTCGTTGAAGCGCATCACATGTCCGGCACACCTTATTTTCGATATCCTGGCGTGTAGAACGCCGTCTCTGATGTTCGATCGTTAACGTAGGTCGGAACTTCGGATCCTTTGTCTCATTTGCGAGATACGAGATACTCCTAGCATCGACATTTCGACTGCGCGTTCGATAACGTCAAGTGATCTTTCATCCTGCTTACGTAGCGACCAGGTTTCTGCTGCATACGTTAGGGCAGGGATAATCGAGGCGACACTATCACTTGAAAATCATCACTGTTACCTTTCAGAACATCACGCGAACATTAGAATGGGACAAGGAGTGAAAATCGGCGGTCGTCGACAATTACACCAGCGTCCCTCTGATGATGACATCGTTCTGGACATGATCACATGGTGGCATAAAACGAGGGATCAGCCAAGCGGAACGACTGCTGACCAATATCGACAACGCTTGTGGAAAATTGGTCTCCGATAAAATTCGACGGAAATGACGCTCATGAGGAATGCAGAATTTGAATGTCTTGATCACTCTCAACGAAGAGAATCCCTCTGAATGCTTCAGTTTTCACCTCGAGCTATGTCGAGGAGTGAATACGATGAACGACCTAGCTCCAGCCAGAGTTGATCAGGAGGGAACGAGGGGCTTGGGCTGCGCTTAAGAGCATCGCAGCTTAAGAGTGAAGAGAACAGAAAACCACCGTACCCGTGCGCACCCTTTCAATTCAACGATAATCCCTGCCCCAATGTATGCATCACAAACCTGTTTGCTACGTAGCAGATTGATGACAGACCACCTGGTGTTATTGAACAATCAATCAAAATGTAGATGTGGGGGAGGGGGGGGGGGATAAACCCGTTTCTCGCAGACAAAATAAACGATGCGGATCCGAAGCTCTAACCTATGTCACGAACTGAAAATGAATGAAAGGCGCCGTTCTACACGCCTGTTTTCGAAGATAAAATGGGCCCAACACCCAATACGTAAAAAAATAGGTCCACTCTAACTGCAGACAATGAACAAAGAGCGCATGTGGCGCAGTGTAAAGGCCCTCTGGATCGCACACAAGGTCGATGGTTCGATCTCGCGCTCGAGGCTCATCAGGCCATCCATCACTCCGGGGTCGGTAAATTGCTACCAGACTGGTCTCAGGCTTGTCTGGAGGGATAAGCAGCACTGACTAGGTTCAGCGGGAGGCCTCGCTAGTCATCGTAAAGGCCAGATATGCGGTTCAGTCACCTCGAGCGAAGCTGAAAATTGAAGACTAATGCATGGCGCATCCCTCAAGAAGGATTGATCATCGCCGGGAGCTTCATTCTTTACCCTGTAGACGATGAACAACTGCTATTCGGGTACTTACGAAGCAGCACTGACATATAAGTTTATTATTTGTAAATGCGTGGCGCACCGGCGGTGCGTGTGGAACATAGCTTACAAGTGCCTCCTCTATTGCCCACAAGGTCGTTGGTTCGACACCGGTGCGACCGCTCTCACCAAGCGCTCCATGACATTGAGGTCGGCGGATCGGTTCCTTACCACAGCAGTACTGACTCAAATGGATCACCTAGCCATTGTAAACCACTGCGTGGGCCAGATATGTATTCATTCACTTTCAGCGATACTCGACACTCCCAATGATGTAGAGTGGTGTGCAAAAACGTTTGCGTCAGCCGGGATTTGAACCCAGATCTTACGCTTTTTGACAGATAACGCGTTGTAGCGTGGAAAGAGTGGGGTGCAAAACGGGCGTCGGTGGTGTAACGGTCTAGCTTATGCTCCTGGAAAGAGTAAGATCCGGGTTCAAATCCCGGCTGAGGCAAACGTTTTTGCAAACCACTCTACATCATTGGGTTTATCTAAAGATCATAACACCGCAATCGGCGGTCAAATAAAGATGATTTCCGATACTCGATACTATCTGTTACTAGAATATCTTCGGGTGATCTAGAGATTTATCAATAATTGCTTTCAGTAAGATTTCTAGATAGCAAAAAAAAGCCAAGAATGTAAATTTTCAAAGCAAATCGCCTTAATGAAAAGCAAGAAATTTTGAAGAGGTAAGGGAAAAAACACTTTGAAAAAGAGAAAAGAGGTCGAGAGAGACGAAAGAAACGGACAAAAATCAATCAAAGAGCATAACTACTCGTCAAGCTTTCACAGGAGCCAATAGAAAAGTCTTTACGAGGCTTCAAAACAAACTTTCGCGTCAGGCGGGACTCGAACCCGCATCTCACACTTTCTGGGAAGCGCGTGCTCTAACCCCATTGCACTATTGACGCCTGTTCGGCTCACCACTCTTTCTAGGCTATAGCGCATCTATTTGTCGAAGACCAACCGTCAACGGTGTGGCATGGGTAGTCGGAATCGACGTTGACCCCAGCGGTGTAGAAAGAGTGGTGTGCAAAATGGGTGCAAGTAGTGCAACGGGTTATAGCACGCGCTCCCGGATAGAGTGAGATGCGGGTTCGAGTCCCGCCTGTGGTGAAAGTTTTGTTCATAAAATTAAAAAAAAAATTGAAACAAGGCAAGTCCGGAGTAGATCTGGGACTATTCATAAGGGAGGAAAATATGGAAAATGAGGGGCAGAGTCTGCGTTGGGCGATAAATAGAGGCAGTTGTGCAAATATACGTCGAGATTACGGTAACCGTTCAGCTGTGCAATGTTCCGTCCTAAGCAAATACCTCCACTGATCAATTCAAAGCTCTGTGGATGGGGTGGGTTTGCGCAGTGGTTAAACGTTCCCGCGTCGCACACAAGGTCGATGGTTCGATCCCGCGTTCATGGCTCACCAAGCCATCCATTCCTTCGCGGTCCGCAAAACTTGTCTGGGAGGATAAGCAGCACTGGCCTCATACAGTGGGACGCCACCGCGAGTCATTGTATGGGTCAGATATGCATGCAATCACCTCAGACATGCGTGGTTCCCCCCAAATTCACCAACGCCGAGAGCTTTGTCTTCTTATAGAGCGCTAATTATCTTGTTTATGGAGCGCGTGTGGCATAGTGGTTAGAGGTGCTCGACGACACAGACGTGATGAGATCCATTGATGGTTCGATCCCTCGATACGACTCAAGCGATGCTAGATGAACACGAAATGCTTGACGCATCCCTCAGTAATTGATCAGCGCCGAGCGCATCTTCCTTTACCTTTTTAACTCATTCATAGACGTTGGTCCCGTTGGTGTAGTGGTAGCATGCTCCACGTTGATCGATGAGACGGTGGTTCAGTTCCCGCCCTTACTCGAGTCTTTGCATCTCAATCAGCACCTTTCGATATCACGTTAATGACCCTATGAAGGCGACATAAGTGGCGCAACGTATTTATACTCGTTTCCCAGGTTGTGATAAGAATTAATGTTAGTAATTCATATATTCGAGAGAGCCGTGGCCGAGTGGTAGTGATGCTCGTCGCGGCGCGTGTAGCCGTGCTTCACCCCCAACCCTCTCCGGTAGTCAACAACAACGCCTTGTGGAACTCCACAGCCGCAGCCCAGAGCGCAGTGATTAGTGATGCAATGTTCCAGGAAGCGAGGTGGTTACCAATGAGCTAGTTTGATCGCGTCCTTCCGCCACTCTTTATAGTCAATTAACTGAATGCCCGGTATTATCTAAGTTCGAATGTGTTCGCGATTGCAAGAACAACTGTCTTGGGCTAGCATTCCACGATACTCATTGAGAAGGTGAACACCAGTCACAGCTGTCCGTAGAGTTTTTGAAGATCTTTGTGGAGGATAAATGGCAAGAACCAATCGAATACAAATAAGGCTGCGATTCGCATAGTAAACTGTGATTACTGGTCGTATAAACAAAATAAGCCCTTCACATTACAACTTGAAACAGTCACAACAAGCTTGAGAGAGGTCGAGAAGATCGCTACCCGGATGTAAGGACGGCGCAAATCTTGTCATAAGCAGCCATGCTTGATAGCCGACGTACTCACCCGCTCTTTCGAGATTCCCCACAGCCTCAGCCTTAGTACTGGAAGGAGTATTCAACTGCCTCTTACCAGTTTGTTGTCGAAAGCACTTCACCTTATTGTGTAGCGTTTCACGGGAGTCATGTATTTATGGCGCATTTATTTATGATGTCCAAAAAGCATTGCAGCTGACGTTAAGACTATCTCCAACCACGGAAGGATGTAAGGCTTGGTAAGAAATGAGCGTGAGATGGAACCATGAACTTTGCGTGCAACGCAGACACATCTAACTACTGTGCCACCTTAGCTAATTCGTGGATATCACTCTCTAATCTGATGTTTCAAATGTTTTCTGAACAGGTCTAATGGCCACTAATGTTTCGAAACCGAACGGATTTTCAGTAACACATCGGATCAATCCTTTTGTGCATTGCACTAGGAAAACCAAGTCAGAAAATGTACGTGGTCTCTGTGTGCCCAAATCATTCTCTCTCTCCCTCTCTCTATGAACGATGAGTTCTGTACTGTTTACATGATTGAGTAGATCCAACACTCTCAACTAAATTTCAAAACAAACGCGTAACTACAGTTCTACGAGGTGGACTAGAAAGAGTCCGGGAATAATGTCGGATTAGCACAATATTTTCAACAATTTTCTTTCACGCGCTATCTTTTCCTCCACTTTCGGCCGCTTTTCATAGACCTGCTTGAAACGATATAATCTGATAAGGAGATAACATGCTTTGAGCCGTTAGCTACAGTGCTATACAGCCTGTATAGCATACAGCCCGTATAGCAGTGGATCTAACAGCTCAAAACATGTTACATCCTTATCAGATTACTTTCTTTTGATCAGAGTGAGAACAATGATTTTTGACATGATTTTGAAAAGATGAAGGGGGCAAACCAATAGCACAGTACACGCCAGCAAATTTCTTACAAGTCTACATTTACTAGAAATCATCCGTTCAATCAAATGAAAAGTAATGAAGAGCAACGGATTTCTTCGTGCTTCCCCTTCGACAATACAACAGATGATCTTCAACAGTACAACAAGCGCTAATTTTGAATGAAGATCAAACGACGCTGAAAAACTGAGGAATGAGCATAGCGGTCTTAGGCAAGTTGTTCCTCAGGGAGTTACACCACAACTTAAATTTAACTCCGCTTCCAAATCCCATTAAAGAGTGTTGAAAAATATGCAGAATATTTTCTAAACCTGCATATGGGTTCTGGTGTGAAAAAATTTAGTAAGAAAATAGATATCTTACCATTCTTGCGTTGGTACACCAATTGCAAAGAAACTTTCGCAGGCCATGAAAGCATTTAAAATGACTTTTTGAAGCGAAACAATCAAAGAGGAAGTTCCTGGATGCCACATTTCGTCAGATAACACGTTCACCAGGCATAGCAAAATCGATCAACATATGTATGATTTATAGGCTTGCCGGAAAAATAGATCCTCCACCTGTGTCACCGTCACTATGACCACTTAACAAGAGCCATATTCGATGCCTATATCAAGTTGTTTCATTATTATTAGGTCTTCTCATGAGTTTTGACGCTAGAGCAATGAACACAAAATTTATTAACCAGAGCGACCATTTTGGTACACAACTTGCTTATACTTGCTTCAAGATGGAACTGTCTTAGGGGCAAATTTGCTTGCTACTCAGGCACGAATGGTGGGTAAAAGAAAGTGCTAATGAAGCAGATTAGTGGAACTAGGTGCGATGTTACGGCTGCAGAACGGAGGCTAGGAGCCTCGCGGAGTTCAAAGCCGGAGGGAACACTCCGGAGGTTAACTCGCGCTCGGGCTGTTCAGATGAAGCTCCATCAATCTTGCGCCCCGCCTCAGTAACATTTTCTCCTACGCCCAATTCGTGCATGGATAGCAAGCGAATTTGTTCCTAAGGCAGCTTCATTTTGGAGCAAGTATAGGCAATATCTATACCAAAATGTTCACGACGAAACGCGCGGTTGAATACTTCTGTTAAACAGTTTTAGTTACTCATGATTAACAAATTTGGTGTTTATTGCGCTAGTACCAAAACTTATGAGAAGACCTAATATCTTCGCACTAATGTTTTGTTCGATTTTTATTCTTTTTCAAATTGCCTTATGCCAAAAGAATGTGTGGTATGTTGGAGAATGTTCTCGTACCTTGAGTGGGCACTAGGATATGGCCATGATACTATCGTTCTCCATCTAACTGAAATGGGATTCGCAAAGTGGTTGATGGACACCTTATGCATGACCGACAACATACAAAGTCGACTCGCCATATTCTGGAGAAAACCAAGCTAAACCATGCTGCCACATTCACCGTACAGCCCTGATATTTTTTCGTCGTATTACGACCTCTTTCGCGCCCCGAACCAGCTTCTGGGGGAGATAAGACATAACCAGCGCAGAAACGACCTCACCGATTTCTCTGATCGCCAGTCTCATTTTTCTCGGGAGGAAAACTTTCAAGCTTCACCCTGAAATGGTTGCATATTATTGATCGTACGATTATATTTGGGTTCAATTAATTTTTTTCAGATACATAACAACTTAATTAACAAATGACCAAATGCGGAGGAATTAGTGGGGCAACCCCGCAATTATGCGGTCTCGCAAGGTATAGTGTTGATTCGAGTTCATGACACTAAAACAGGGCTTCCAAGTTTTGCTCGCAGCTCAACATTTTTGTGATATGCTCATAGTTATTAAAAATTTTTCTGCTCTTGTAATAGAGTAAAGGATTATCACAGCTTTTCTTCGTAGAGTTTTGGTTGATTTCATAAAAGGCTAGAGCCATGAAGCCCACGTTCTCCATCTTCTAGGAAGGCGTCGTGCTTTCATCGCTATTTATGACATCGCTGATGCAAAAGGATGCTCAATGTCAATGAAGTTATCAGCGCAGAGTTCTTTATCCTTTCATAAAAGAACCACTACTTCAACGAAAAAGAACATGGCTGACCTCGCCCGCGGAATTGAAACCAAAGACTATGCGTGTCGCAACGCGCTTTTACCTTTAAATGCGCCTAGATATCTGGATTCGAAACGCTTAAGAGAAGCAATAAAGGAACATATGAAAGAGAGACGAGAATATTTATGACAGAAGGTTTAGAAGCTGGGAAGAGCATCCGCCAAGTCCACCGAAGCTTCGTCAATTACAAGAGCAAGATGATTGCACTCCAACGCCCTGACGGGACACTTACAGCTTCCCGAATGACAATGAAGAAAATCATACACGACTGCTACTCGGACCTCTTCAATAGCCATGTCCTCTTACCGTCATATGATCTAAAACAGGATGAATTTGTTGCTCCATCGGTTCTCCCTTCCAAAATCCGACACGCCATCTCGTCAACGA